CATGTAAAACAACTCATATTTACATCAGTTTATAATGCAGAATACTACACAGCCCATTCCCTCTGTTATAAAACAACAGTGAAGTCAATGACATGGAAAAATATAACATTACAGCAACATTACAGCCTTTATTAGCTCAACTTCTCAGACGGTCACTCAAGCAAACAGACTGAACAGAGGTTTTAACTCATGATAGTCAGGCGGATTTTTGGCCCAATCTCCACACACACACACACACTGAATGTATCTATTAATAATGCTGTCTGAGTGGCATTGTGTAAATTTTCTCTCCAATGAGACAAAGTTCCTACATTCAAATGTGATTTGAAGTTGTTTAAAAATTATGGTTCAAACTAATATTTTTATAAATTCTAGTTTCAGCCTGGTCAAAGGATTCAGCGGATTCAGCAGAGATACCATCTGACTTTTTTTTTTAACACGTTTGCCCTTTAGGTGATGACAACATAGACACATATCAGCCATGTATTCCCAGTAAGGCTCCTTACTGACTTTTGTGTGCAAATTTATAACACTGAAAGTAAGAAAATTACTTCTTACAGTTACAAAACGGTGACCTATTTTTGAGGAATGTGTTTCAGACTGGCAGTCATATGCATTATTATGAAAAAAATACACGAACAATCATATTACATACATATATTACATAGAACCTGTACACAAACAAGAGAATATTGTGTTATTTTAAAAAACTGATGATCGGTAGGCCAAATAGGAGAAACTAGACAAGATTTGGTATCCATGCTGTCATCACTTCCAGGGTACATTGACTAACAGGTCAGTTTCTGTGGTGTGCTTCTTTTTACCTCACACAAGAATATAACGTTCAGTCAGTAAAGCTCTGAAATCAAACTAACTTCAGAGATTCTTCCAGCTGTGGCAGTGTGTTTCGTTCAGCGACTGAGGCCTCCATGAGAGTATCTCGCATAACCGTTCTCAGGATACAGAGAAAGCTCCTCTGTGCTGCTGAGCCCATTGTTCAGTTCTGAAAAAGATGACAGAAAAATGATGGATGATGCCATAACTCTCTTTACTGAACATAATTCTAATATACTGTTCTCAATTCAGATGGAAATTATTTAGTTGGATTACATGAACAGCTGATATTTAAATACAGTACCAGCAGATATGTTTTTTTAGTAACCACAATATCACACTTCACTTAAACTATTCATGCAAAGCCAGCAAAGGCCACCAATTCTAAAATGTTCAACTTTGGCACCCCCAAGTGGTAGTGTCATAAAATCCTAAAACTGTAAACTCAGGTTTCCAGGATCCAGGGTTGAAAGTGACTGTCCCACATTTACAAGTAGTCAAGTGCCTATTTATGTAATATACCTTTGGTAACTGCCAACAGTGGGCTGTTAAAACTGCAGTGTAAAAGTTTATTAGAACACACTGGAAGGGACATTTTTACAGAAATGACTGATAAAAAGATAAAATATTTATGCCCCCTTTATTAGTGCAGTGGGGCAGAAAAATAACAAGAGTTTACAAAAAGAGGTTATGAGTTTGGTACAGTACTGTAGTTGTTTGTTTTAATGGGAGAACTACGCATTGTTGTTTAAACAGTTTCCTGATGAGTTTATGGTCTCAGCTGCTACTTTCAGTCTTTTTCCATACAGGATGTTCATTAAGTAAATTATGGTCCCATTTAGAGTAAAATAGACGATAAAGCCGCGTATGCTTTTGGGCGGGGCTACCTTTTGATTGACAGGTCAATCTGTGTGTATGTCCAGCTTAACCATTGACAGCATATATAAGAGCTCAACGAACCAAACTCAGATCAAACTGTCAAACTAGGCAGTGCTGATCAGATATGAAGCAAGATTTTGTTACTGTGTTGACTAATTCTCACTGAAAATCGTTTCAGAAACATATACTGTGTGATGTTTAGCGGTAATACGAGATTTTGTGTCACTAGGCGAGCCGCCATTGTTTTCTGCTACGGATGAGTCAATACTGTGCAGCTAGTGAGAGCAGCTCAATGCTATGTGCTATGATAATGGGTAAATGTATGCATGCCCTCCACAGGAGCGGATTTGCTATTTATTTATGTATTCCCACCTGAATTTTATGTATGTTTGCTCTGTTCAGTTACAACCTGAGCCATTTATTTTAAGGTGTGAATGTAATCAAGGCTGCACCTGAGAATATGAGCTTTTCCTTCATAATGTTGACGTCCCGACTGGACCGACGCGCCACAGCGCTCAGCATGATCTGTTCGGGGTTATAGGTCTGCATCCCGCTCATCCTCCACCTGTCACAGCACACACAGATACAAACCATTACAAGCACATACAGGCAACAATTCCAACTGTGTCATCAAAACATGCAAATCATTAATTGTGGCCTTTAAGATACTGGTACACAGAAAATAATACGTACATTTAATGGGATGTACATTGATAAACAAGAGGTACACAAGTTCAGTGAAAGGAAGGAAGTAAGGAAGGAAGGAAGGAATCTGCCTTGGGGTGTCGGGCAGAGAAAGCACAAGGAGGACAGACAAGGCGGCAGAAACAAAGGCCAAGGCAGTCGCAGCAGTTACCTGATCATATGATAGCTGACAGATGCCAGGGGCAGCGGAGGAAGGTTGCATGCAGATCAGGCAGAGCACAGGACAAAGTAAGAATGTCAAGAGAGAAAGAGAGGACAGAGAGGACAAAGAGAGGTTATAGCATGGAGGAGAAACATGGAAACATTCAGAAAACAGCAGGAGAATAGAACAAAAAATAGAAAGAAAAGAGCAGAATGAACAGTCAGAAGAAGCAGACAGATAGCTCAGGTCCAGTGAGACTCAGAGCCTGGTGTCAACTAAATGCACACAAAACACTTGTTTACATGTGAAATGTTGTTGTTGAATACATACTAAAAGTTACGAAATGTCTAATGCAAGTAAAACACATTTACTGTATTTCTAAAAATTAAGCTGTGTTCGCTAAAGTAGATAAATGTAATATAAAATATAAGATAAAACTGTAAAGATAGTATAATATAATGAATGAATAATGTTTATAACAGTGATCAGCCATAACAAAAAAAAACCTAACTGCATGGCTCACTCAAATGTAATAAAATAATGTATTTGTTCAGGTTATTGGAGATTCTCAACTCAACTAAAGAATCATAGAATCATTCACAGGCCTAAGGAGGTAATTATCTAGTGACTCTCAAGAAGATTAGAAATAATAATAAATTATAACACGATTTTGTGTAGCAGAAATATGTTTGTATGTTTTCTGTTTTCCTATCTTGTTAATCCTCTTGTGATCCCCAGGTTGGGAACCACTGAAGAAAAATTATACTAGATATCACAAATGCTTTATGTAAGTGCTAAAACTAAATGTAATGATGCTAATTTAAAATAGCCAAGCTGGGAGAATAAATATGCTGAGTGTTAAATGAATTTCTGTGTTTATTATTGTTTTGTGATTTTCAGCATGTTAACAGTCCAAACTTACTTCTGAAAACAGAAAATCCCTATGACTACGGCGAGGGAGACCAGATCCGAGGCGATCCAGATGAAGTTGTAAGCGTTCTGGCTCTGCAAGACAAGAGAGAGGAAAGTAGTTTCCAGCTGACGCCAGCGGAGGTCACCATTAACATGCATGTCTCCTAAAGCAATCACACGGCCCTGACTAAAGCAAAAGCCTGCCAGACAGCTGCTTTTTCACTTCAGATCTGTGCCCTTGTCTCAACCTGTCCCACACTCTTTCCCAGGGTCCTGTTGTTCTTTAACGCCACGCTGAGCTAAAGTCTGCCGCTGAGCTCCCTCATATTTCTCCACGTCCTTGCCCTCGAGTCTTGCTGGGCCCTCGTCAGTCTCTGTCCTCTCTCCTGCTGTCCTCTCGTCTCGCTGTGTGACCTTGTCTGTGCCTGTGTGTGTGTGTGGTGTCAGATGAGAGGCAGAGAGAGCAGAGCTGTTTACCATGAGCCAGATGGGGTAAGGCACCTTTCGGAGGACTTGGGGGGCATCAGAGGACACAGAAGGCACCCCGCTACACCACAGAATGGAGTAGAGCCAGGGCTCATTCACTGGGTAGACAGTCACACTCACATTATTGGCCAGATACTCCCTGGGGAATAGAAAAACACATGTCAAAATCTTCAACTCTTCCCTCCTCCTCTCCTTTTTCACACCGCAGAAAATGGCATTTTAAATGTTTTGTGTCAGAAAACCTGTGAAACCTCCAATATTTCATCTGTGTCCCTGATGAAGGCAAAGTGTATGAAAAGAGTATGCTCTGTCTGCATTTTAACATATGCAATAAGGGCCCCCGAAATTCCAGTCAGCTTCTTGGTATGAGTGATGGGGTTCTACATGAGCACACACGTTTCTGCCACAGTTTTAGTTGTGTCACAGGAGTGATTTTTAGGAGTTTTCTGTTTTTTCTGTTCTCTTCTAGCTTGTTTGAAGTAGATGGGGCTCACTTAGGAAAAGGTGGTGTCACATATGCACGCACCAATGGGAGTTTAAAGGGACAGTTCACCCCAAAATCAAAAATACATATTTTCCCTCCTTACCCGTGGAGCTATTTATCCATCTAGATTGTTTTGGTGTAAGTTTCTGAGTTTCAGAGATATTGGCCGTAGAGATGTCTGCCTTCTCTCCAATATAATGGAACTAGATAGCACTCAAAGTGCTAGTGATACATGTAAATAAAATACTTCCTACATGATATTGCTTACAATCAAGATCTGTGGATTATGTTTCAAATGTATGAAGGAGCTGTAGTACAGTTATACCAAAATGTGCTAAAAAACATCATTTACATGAGGGAGTCCAAAAATGTTTTAGATAATGCTTGAGGCACCACACAAAGCCCCCTCTTATCTCTTTCATGACTTATTTTGAGCACTGTTTCCTTGTTGCCGAGCAGTGCTCTTACTGTATGTCTTTGTGGCTGGCCTTGCTGTAGTGGAGGGTCAGGCTTGTTATTCCCCTCTGCCTCATCTCTTCCACTGACAGCTTCTCGTTTGCAGTCTGCTGAAGCCCTCGCACTCTCCCCCTGTCCGTGTCAGGGGTCCACGTCACCTGGCACAAACACATATGACAAAGGAAAGACCCTGATCAGACAGAATGCAGGATGTGCTTCACATTCAGAAATGTTACACCTTTATGGTAAAACGGTGCTACTTGTAGAATTTCAAATATTTGTATGAATATTTTTCCACAGTATTCTTCATAGTAACACACTATGTATACTGTAGGACAATACCTGCTGCCAATGTGAGTGACAGTTGCTTATGTACTCATGATTTACAGTACTACAAGCAGCACCTTGATGTAATCAAAAGATTATAATGAAGGGACCTACAGTCCTCACCCTCTTCTGGGAAATCCCTGCTTTCTGCACAGCCCACAGCGTGTCCATGAACCAGTTCCGAGAGCGCGGGTGCTCCGGTGGAGGCTTGCGGATGTTGAGCAGTGCAGAGCTGTTGGACCTGGCTGTGAGACGCAGCATTTCCAGCAGACTGCAGACGGTCTGGTTGCCTATTCTGCTCCGATCCCTCGCTGTCAGGGTCTCTACTGTCCAGTAGGGGTCACTCTGGAAGCAGAGACAGCAGCAGAGAGGCTGAGATGTAACATGCACTATGTTCTTCTGTTAAATGGTTAACGCAACATGAACATTTTCATATTGTAAATCCTGTGTGTAGCTTATTTGTGCATTGTTTTATAGACATTAGATATTACATTTAGACTTTTATATTGTTATATCTTTTTGTCTTTGCATCACTATTCTAATGGAATGAAATCAAAGCATCTGCACACTTTAGTCAAAGAGACCTTCATCTTCAAAATCAGCACTGCTCCACTGCAGTTATATTCCATAGCCTCAAAATGTTGATTTCTTTTTATTGGAAAAACTAACAAATTTCTATAGCACTTAGAGAACATGTTTTTCTGTTAAAACTGTAGCTTTCACTCCATTTTGTAGTCGGGAAAAGTCCTTACATCATATTTTAAATACAGTGTCACCACTGTACAAATAAACTTCATTGTGCAATACCTACGCAATTCCTTCTGGACTCTCCTCTCCAAATTTTCTGTTGTAACTGAATATGACGAGCAATGTAGTGCCATTAAAGTTCACTATAGCTGTGATGCAATTAGAAACAAATTAGGTTGAGTTGAGTGGACGTGGATTTCAGTACCTCCAAAAACCAATGGCCCGCGTTTAGAGAGCGAATCTCCGTCCAGTTGAAGAAAGAGGCGTCATCATACTGCCTGGCTGGAAAGACCTTACTAACGTCTGTGGTTCTCCTCAAGGTGCGGTCTCGCATAAGGAAGGGAATCCCATCCACACTGGAAGAGACAAAAGGGTCATACTTTACAACTTAAATTATGATTCACAGTAGTACGTACTCTCAAAACAGCAGCTCAGTAAATAATATAAAAATACACACTGTTGAATCTCTCTCATTCAATTTAAATGTTTCTACCAGATAACCTTTATGTCAGCTGTGGGATCTGTATGTGGAACTTCAGGGCTCACTAAATTCATTAAATATAGATAACCCAGGTTTCAAATGTGATTAATGAGTGGTTAATAACCTGATAGTGACGTCTGCCTCCAGGGAGTTTGCTCCATGCTGCAGGGCTCTGTTAAAGGACACCATGGTGTTCTCTGGAGCCAGCTAGAGCAGAGAGGAGACAGACAGGAGAAATACTGTCTGTCACTGTGTGCAGACAACACGCATCAAGGGGAAGTGATGAAATTGTAAAATAACATTTAAATAGGGAAGCATGATTTATTGAAAACACATTTTCAAATGAAATGATTAATAGTCAAACCAAGCTACAGTAGCTAGTCACAGTGCATGTGTTTATTTACTGAAATCCTTTATGGAAAAAGACTAGTGAGCTATAATACTCACCAATGCATTAACTACATGTTTGGTCAAAATTGATGATCAGATGTTTTACCAAATTGAAAAATTATTATTCCATAGAACTGTTGAAGTTCCATTAAAACAACATACAATCTATCACCATATACATAAAGGTTTGAGATTGAGAGATGTGAGTTTTGACTTTAAAGGATCATAATAATATATGAATAATTCAGATGGCACTGGGTTGATGTTTTTAGTCAAAAAAACAATAGAGCTGCAACGATTAGTCAATATATCTATTAATTATCGACTATTAAATTAATCGGCAACTACTCTGAGAATCGATTTATCGCTTTGAGTTTGTTTTATGAAACAAATGCCCAAATTCTAACTAATCAATTAAATGACAAAATGATTGATGGGTGAATTGAAAATGATGATAATAATTAGTTACTGCTCTAAAAAACAATAACTAATGACATATGAATTCATCCAAAAGCGTTTATTTAAAACCTCCGCACAACTGAGGCTGAGGTTTTGCAGAGAGGTGAAAGCCAGGTGTTTTTTGCGATTTGTGTGTATGTGTATACTGTACGTGTGCATGAGCATGTGTGTGTGCCTTTAGAGGGCAGGAAAACATTTGTTTACAGCCAGTCATCTGGAACAGTATTTGCTCGCCCAACTGTGAAATGACAGTTCAGTGTGTTGTTGGCTCTCATGCTTACTGAGCCTGATAACAGTGAGCTCATGTACTGGAGATGTACCACCATATAGTAAAGCAGAGGCATGCACACACTCATTCTATGAACATAAATATATATATCAGCAGGTCTATCAGTAGGGGATTCTGATGTCTTGAGAAGAAAAATTATCATAAAACATATTCAAATGAAGGCCGTATTTGCTGTGCTGTTATCCAGAGTACCAGCTTGGCAGAGACATGTTCTTCCCACTGAGCTGCACATCATCCATTTGAACAATTAACTGGATCAGACAGTGAGGTCTGGCAGTGCGCCAACCCACCATAGGAGCTCCCCTTCGGCCAATGATGTCTGGTCGAGGTCTGAGGCTGTGGCGGTCCATGATGCATGGGCAGTTAAATGTGAGTGGCGCCAAATAGAGAGCCAAGAGGATGATGACGTAGATCAGTAACACTATCACCTGGAAATCTGTGAAGGAAGGAGTGAGGGGGTTAAAAGAGTCAGTGTATTCATCCTCAGCTCATCTCATCTGCTCAAAATGAGAAGAAATGCTTAGCTTTGCCTGTGTTTGGTAGTATAATTAGTAATAAACCAGAAGGTAGGGGTAAATAATTTGTAATGCTGGAAAATGTAGACAATTTCAGGCCTATGTAATTAAACACCTATACTGTATCACACAAATACTCCAACATTGCACCTAGTAATGGAAAGAGGTTGAAAACTGTGGCTTTAGTCTTGATACAATCATAGAAAATGATCTTCACCCCTTATCACGATGCATAAGCAAAAGAAATCAGAAGAAGAAATCTGGCCGGATGGTAACAAGGATCTTTACTTGAAATTCCACTTACTGGATCTTTCTCTGCGGACCACATATCCAGCCACCAACCAGCTGATACCTGTGACTGTTGCCAGGGCTCCAATGTGCAGGAAAGGTGCTGTGGACTGGTAACAAAACACTTGTGTTAATTGGTGGTTACTTGTAGAGAGAGTGCAGTACAACAGAGTACAACTCTGATAGACTGTAGATAATACAGTAAATATGTCAGAAATAGCCAACAGTGTAACAATAGGAGCTCCTTGTAAATGTGGTGTGGGAGAAATGTGGTAAAAAGATTTTGTCTGTCTCTTTGAACACAAAAAAAGTTGGCTGCACTGTACTGTGTTGTTGGTAAGATTAATTCACTTTCAGTGTCATTCTTAGACAGCTTTATCATCACCAATACACAATGCAGGAATTTAAATTACCATCATAACCTGATTGATACCACTCCTATATTAAATAAGCTACATCCAGCAGCAGGCTACCTTAAATTGGCATAAACAGTGAAAGCAGGGGGAGAGAAATAATGAATAATGGCGATTTGGCGCTCAGATTGACTTGGACTAGGAAAGTTTATTTTATGTATATTTTCTGATCTGAAGTTGATGATATTGTGCTGTCATCCTTCAATGGTGATGGCAAGAATAACAGTATCTTTATTAAAGTGAATTAGGGATGAACTTCCCTTATGCACAGATCATATACATCAATAGTAGCCAAAGTTTATGCATAATCCATGACGATGGAGATAGAGAAAAATAAAACTGTCACTGTACTGTATGTCATTTTAGTCAAAAAGTGAAGACCAACCTGCAGTGACACAAGCAGGATGTCCCACTCATCTCCCCATATGTCTTTAACAGTGATGAGCCCAGAGATAGTGGTGAGCAGTGTAGCCAACACTCCAATCTGTAGAGACAAAACAGACAATGATTAGGTTTAATTTTATTCAAAACTGTGTGGAACAAATCCATGGCAGAAATGTAAGATGTAAATCACAGCACCTTGTGGACCCAGTAGAGGTTCAGCTGCTGGCCTAAGGATATATGGAAAAGTGCTAAGATCTGAAAAAGAAGCAAGATTCAGTGAGTTATATCGTAACTTAGCAATAAGCAACATTGCAAACATTTTAGGGGTTTGAAAAAGACGGTCACCATTAAGAACGTGATGTAGCTGAATCCCACGGTGGTGGATGCGAGGATGGGGATCGTCTCATCCCTCCATTCTCCAGAGCGGTTGTATACTGACCTGGAGTGTGAACAGGTAGGGTTTGATCAGTTAGTGCTGATTGTAGAACTTTGCCTCGACTATGCATCTTCATAACACTAGGAACCCACTAATAAAACCCTGTTGCGGTAAGGTCAGCACCCTGCTGCGCTTCACCTCATCTGGAACTAGTTCCATTGCCACAAAAAACATTTCACATTGTGGGATAACTGACTCACCAGTTGAACTCATTGAAATCATTTTGAGCCACCAACCAGAAGTAGGCCCAAAGCAGAAGCAGAAGGAAGGAACTGCACAAGATGACGAACCATGTACACTCCCACTGTAAAGGAAAACACAAACAACAATTTACCTTCTCAGATTTTACACTGAGACTATTTCAGAGTTTGCTGCCAAATTCCATACCAGGAATCTAGATTCAAGCTGCTATCATCAGTATTTTTATGTCAGCACATGACTACATGTAATGTGAAAGGGGCTAGTCATAATGAAAAACCCTTGTACTTTTGCAAAACCCTTGCGAGGCAGCTGGACTCCACCATGTCAAGATTCATGCGTTTGTATCCAACCACAGCAGTATCGCTTAGCACCAACAGCCAACAACAAACAAACTAAGCAACTAGCTGGTGAACTAGTGAGCTAGTGGAGCACTTGGCCATTAAAAAGCAAGACATATTTCCCTCAGGAGTTGGTGGAAACCAAAACCAGAGCTAAAACTGTGAATATTGTCAGAAACACGACTCCAATTGAATAATGTTGCTCTGTAATTGTAGGATGTAGGAATATGATGTATAAATTGGCAGTGGCTAGCTAACACAGTCACCAGATCAACTTTAAGAGGAAATAATATGTCAATGTGGTGTTTACAGCTTAATTCTCACATTTCTGTCAACTTGGCTGACAAAATTGCAACACAATGAACTTGAGTCTTGCTCATTCTATTCAGATGTTATACTTAGTGATGTCATTTGAGAGCCTACAGTGGAGACCTTTTTAATCGAATATTTGCTTGGAGTTTCTCTTGGTTTGAGATTCTGTTGGTGGCGCTCTTGTCTTTGTATGTGCAGTCTTGGTGACTTTGACTCATCAGGCTAACTCCCCACTTCTAGTATTTTCTCAAAACAATCTGTTGATGATGACTTCCTGTAATTTCTGCTTGCCATGGCCAAAAGCAAATGTTTGGAGTAGCATATGTATTAGTGTTATTACATAAACATGTTTTCTTGTTTTTAACCCCTTCCTGTACAGTCTTCTGGCTTGACATGTGGGACAAAGGTACAGAGGAGAGCTTGTGCAGCACTCAAGGACTCTTCCCTTCAGTAGTTAACAGGATTAGGAGCTAATGCAATGTGACGGGAGGTGTAGAGTATGATAGGCCAGTCAACACATCCGGTTGAGCATTGATCAGCATTGACCACACTGTGTTTGGATTCACCATTTCCAGCAGCTTATGTAAGAGGCTAGGAGATAATTAGACTAATAGTGTTTGCAGGTAGAGAGCAAATGGCTGCACCAATAAAAAAGATGAGTCTGCACAGAACGACTTATGGACTTGTGTTTCACTTTTGTCCAGGAAATGAGAGGACGTGAATATGCATCAGGGAATATCTTCTAACTTGATGCAGCCAGTGACAAAATGACAGTAGAAGTGGGGATAGGACATGTAACAGCGGCAGTTTTTAATTGGTTTAGCAGGTACTTCAGGTGACTGTATGTCACTACGAGGCGATGAGCTAGAGTTACGTTGTCACTTAAGCAGAAACACAGCATTTCTCATTTACTGAGATTCCGACCAGAGAAGTCAGACCACTTTCCAAAATGTGTGACTTACATGATACTGGTTATTATAATTTTCTATACGTTTTCTGCACTGGAGAGAAACAACTGAACACCAATGTAAAAATGTTGATGAGGAGAAGCCCGCTGTCAAAGGACATTCAATATATAACTGCCTTTGAATAGAAGTGGGCAATATGGAGAACACTTTCTGTCATAGTAAATTTAATTCTATACCCCAATCACAATAAAGTTTGTGATATTGTAAATTTTCTAGAAATTGAGAGACAAATAAAAAAGCCTAAATACTAAACACAAACTGTCATTTTCATCAATTTGATGCAAAACAAGGACAAGGACTTGCTTCGTACCTTCTGTGGCTCTAATAAACATATTTACTACATTTCATCTAGTCAGTGTGGGAGTTACCTCCATATCACATTTTCCAACCTTTATCAGCCCACTCTCAGTGTGCAGGGCAAGTCATTTTCAGGGAGGCTGTGTGATGTCTGGCACTTTCTCCTGTGCGCTACATGGCCTTCAAAAGTTTCTCCATCTTTCCAATTAGAACTGCCGGTGCCCAACTTCTGACAGCGCTCATAAATCCTGATCTAAAGTATGTGCTGACTTCACCATATGACGAACCTCTCCCTCCTTTTTTCCTCGGCTCATAAATGTGCAGAATGGCCTGTGTCAGACAAGGTCAGTGTCAGCTGAACATGGCCACTGATAAAGCAAGTGCCCATTGGTGTATTCAGGACAGGAATGTGCAATGGTAGAACAAAGTGGAACTAGAATAACAGAGTTCAGCCATTGTTTGTACTTGTGGTTCACTAGTTAATGGAAATTATGTGAAGTCATACATTGTATGTTACATGCTACATGTTCAAAATGTTTCATAGATTGATGTCCACTGTGGGCTATGACTGAGGAGGGGAGCTTATATAAAAATGTTGGTTTGTAATGTAAACCTGCATTAGTTTTTGGCTGCACAACAAGCTGTAAACACAACATTGAGATATTGTCACATTATAAAGTTGATTTGGCAGCAAACTGTTTTTTATGGTTCTTTTGGTATTTTTTTATGTATGTACTAAAAATAACTCAAATTTGAACAGTTTTGTTGTGCACAATAGAGTCATCCATTTTTGCACACTACTTTGTAGCCTTTCTTTTAAAATACTAAAATGTGAATTGTCTCAGCGGCCATGATAAGTAATTATCTGTGATTGTATCGGCTGAAGAAAAATCCATATTGTGCATCCCTACAAAATAATGAGCTTTAAATTGTCATGCAAGATACAACAATTCCACTACCCACGCTGACTATGTGAGAGAAGCAGTGTGCTAATGATCTCTAAGAGAACATAAAGCCTGAAGCCCAAAGCAGAACTGAGGATGTAATCTGTCCTTACTAATGAAGGACCTTAATAATACAATCAGTCACACATCACTGTGTTGTGGTGTAAACACACAGCATTTCAGTGCATGAATGCTAACCTGTCTGCTTATGTGCAAGCACTGCCTGTGTGACTACATGAAGCTTTGTAAATGGAGACAGAGAGGGGAAAGAGGCAGCTGTGTGCTTGTATTTTTTCCTTTTGGTCAGCACATCATCAGTGCCAGGCTCACACATTCAGTAAATGGACTAATTTATGGCAGAGCCACTGGCTCTTTGTGATAAAGAAGACATCCAGCAGCAGTAGCTGTGGCTGCCCAGTGGGTATCCAACACAGCTGGGTGTCTGGCTCCGCTTTACACATTCAAACACTGCTCTGCTTCTGTTACTTGCTTTATTGTAAGGATCGTTTTCCCCAGTTACTAGGGTCTGGTCTAGATGTAATTTAGGAATTCCGTAAAAGAATTGGGATGACATCAACTTCTAATGAATTACTTTTGGAATTTAAGGTAATTCCTAAAGAATTACTAAGTAATTGTAAATACTAAGTTATCAACAAGCATGTATTTTCAATACTAGTTGAGATCCTAGTGTTTAAAGGGTGGTATTTCTATAGAGTGATGTGGAATACAAGGAATCTAAAATATTTCCATTTGGGGTGTTATGGTGGCCTGGGGGCTAAGACTATAGACTGCAACATCTCTTGTTTGAAAACTATATACTATCCATTTATTCCAAAAAAGCTATGTAAATATGCTATGTATAGCATATGTTAAAGGGAAAACAGACAGGAATGGAAAAAACTAAATGGATGTTCAGGGTACAAAAGGAGCCTGTAATGTCATAATCAAAATTAATGAGTGTACTTTGCACACTGTTGTGTAGTTTTTTTATGCCTTTCACAAAGCCTGACCTATTTATTCGCCTTCGGAACCACAAAATGAAAAAGAGTTCATTTATTCCTGAGGTGTGATCAGGTTTTAGTGCAGCCTCAGCAGGGTTGTGTTGTCTCATTATCAGCCTCTGTGCACAGTATGTACAGTAAGCCACATGGCCACACAATATTCACTACACCACTTTCTCGACATAAGGCTAAACTACAAGATCCCTGTTTACAACTGAACAGGAAATAAAGATAAGACTACCTTTGTTCTTAAGCCTTTATCATACAATCATTTGGGTAAACAGGATGCATACAACACACATCTCTGTCAGCATGTCCTGTTTCTTGTCTTCTTCTCATTACTACAACCTATAAGACTGCAACTTACACTTTCTTCCTGCAGTGGTATATATTTCTGGTGCAACTCTACAGAGGGCTGACTGAGTTATATGCTAACTGCATTAGCATTTAGCAGATGTAAATAAATACTATGGCTGAAGCACCTATGATTAACTTTCTGTACTTATACCTCCTACTACAGCTCAAGTGGGATAAGTAGCTGAAAGATGAAACCTGGGATCAGCTTTCTCTGTCAACTTTATGTTATTCTGTGTAATGACTGATTCACTTTAGGGCAGGGGTCTCAAACTTAAATTAGCTTAAGGTCAGTGTTTAGACTTCCATCAGATATTTCATGATTTAAATCCAAATTGTATTATTTCACTAAGGCAACATTCTTGTACGGCTGCTTAGACTTTTAAGGTTTAAGACCTTTGGCTTCATTTGTTCAGTGGAATATGTTTGTAGAAAAACATGTTGACCATTCTCAAAGTGAGGGATCCAAAAAGTATTGTTTTGGTGCTAAACTTCAGTATTGTATTGGCACTAGTAGCCAACTTAAAAACTCCAAACAATAACCACCCTTAATCAAATATGATATAATCATCCATCTGAAGCAACTTGCAAGATGCATCTACATAATTATAATAATAATAATAATAATAATAATAATAATAATACAGTAATACAATAAGGTTGTAACAGTAATACTAAGTTATTGCTATTTTTTTTTATTAGTATACCAAGCAAGTAATATTTGAATCTTAGTCCATACGACGTCCATACTTAATAATCACTGGTATTTTCTTACCTTGGAGCTGTCGTCTTGGGAACGCTGGTAGCGTTTCCAGCGGCAACCATAGATCCCAGTGACAAAGGACACAAAGACCTGCTTCTCATAGACCTGCAAGGGTTGGTGTTTCACCATGCTCCTTCAGCCTCAGCGCGCCGCCAGTCCGTTAACATCCCACACAGGACTGGGAACCCTGAGGAAGATCAAAGTGTTACTGAACAGAACAAGCTTTCAAATGATTAGCTCAGTCTTTGTACATACAATTACATTTTTCATCAACATTCCAGATCACGTCATGTTGTTCAGGTATATTTCCACAAAACACTGTGAATATGTTGATGCTCCTGGGCCTTGTGTGCAGTAACAACACCTGTGAGAGGAATCACCACACTACTCAATAGTGAGTCATGTCTGGGACCGACATAATAACATGGTATATGCTTTACAGTCACAGTCTTAGGATGTCTGACAGCTGAAAAGTGGCAAATAGGCAGGTAAATCTATCTATGGCTATGACTAGATCCTTTAACAAGAAGAACATGAGTAAATAGGAAAGATGGAATCAGTGTGTTGCTCTTAAACTCACTTCTGCCTCAGAGAAAAGCTTGTTGCCTTGGTGGCAGGTAAAAATGTCTTGGCACAGAAGATGTTGTTTTTCATGGCTCTCTGAAAGAGAGTATCTTTTTTTTGTACTTTTCTTTTAGCATTTGCAGATTGTTTCTGTATGGAGTAGCTTACAGACAGAAGTATGGAATTGCATAATTTTAGTTCATATAAGCTACAGTATTTGTTATTTATGTAACGTCTTGAAATAAAACCTCATGGCATTTCTTTGTATAAAACACCTCGGTGTCCTTGGTGAGTGACAGTTCCTAAGATAATGCTGACTTTCAAAGTATGATTTTTTGTTTTTTGTTTGTTAGCAGCATGGCTCTATCACTTTGGTCCAACATTTCTTTAGAGTGAGATATCTTGACTACTGGATGGTTTGCCCTGCAATTTTCTACACAAGGATACATTGGTGATAGTTGGTGATCCTCTGACTTTTCATCTTTTCAATTTGCCCATTGTTTTGGTTTGTGTCCACATACCTGCAAAATTAATCACATTCCCATCAACTTCAGCTGTATTTTGTGTTTAGCAAATGTTAGGATCAAGCGGTAACCTTAGTGACAGGTGGGTGCCATAACAAGTGGCTAGCTGCCTCATTTTTCTCACATCAGCCACTGTGCCTAAGTAAAGCCTCACAGAGCTGCTAGCATGGCTATAGAGTTTTATTTTATACTTTTTGTTGGACTAAGTAGTAAAGATACTTAATAGCCTTTCTGCCAAACTGTAATTCAACACCTCACTGTGCAGTTGGATGAAAATGAATGTAGTTTGTTGCCTCAAAGTATCCATTTCTTCCAGTTCTTTGTCATATACTGTACCCCCTACAACAGAGCCCTGTCATCACAGCCAACAGAGTCATCATATAGAAGCGAGAGGGTCACAACATCAAAGCGTTGATACGACCAAAACTGATAAAAAAGAACGGTAAGCACAAAGAGCTCCATGCTGAACGCTGTTGTTTACCCCAGCACTGAGGAGAAATGTGTCGCTCAGATGAAGGTGGAGGTGGATGAAGGTGAGCAAAGATGGCAACTTCTTTTACCACGCCACCACATTTTAATGGAAAAACACAGTTGTGCTCGCCATTATGGACAAGCCCTATAATGGGGAGCAGCTAACCTCTTTTAAGTCATTTGAACCAAAGTCAAAAGTAGACACGGAAAGAGAGAGGTCAACCTTCAGGCTGTTAAAGCAAGCAGTAGCACAGTTCTAAAAGAGACAACACCTTCACCGGGATTTAGTCAATGGGTTGAAAAGCCTCCCTAGAGAGTGAATCCCACTAGGGGGCAGCTGCACACAATTTATGAAAATGGAACCAGTTGGTGCTGTAGGCACCACTGTAACCCCCGCCACGACCATGTGCATGGACCAGACCATGACGAGGAGGTTTTCAATATAGAAAAACACTCAACCCCCTGAAACAGAAAATAACTCCTGCTGAAAACTCAGCTGAAATAAAATGTCTATTTTCTTTAATAAAAGGCAGCAATGAACAGCAATTTCCTGGTCAGATAAAGAAAGTGTTTCCTGGTCAATGGTTCTTAACAAAGCAAACTGCTCCTTTGTCCTTATCTCTGAGCAGAGAAATTGACAACATGACAGGGGGACCAGGCTAAATTAGCCTGGCTGTGTCTGTGTACATCACTATCACTCTTTCCATGTCACTCAATTTTCTAAGATTCTAAAAGGCAAATATAAAAAGCATAGGCGGCGCTATTAAGAAGCTCACTGAAGCTCACTTCACAAGCTACCTCACATAGCTAGTAGTGCTGGCAGCATCACACACTACACTGAGTTCATCTGCCATTCAGTATGCCCACGTTGATAATCAAAGTAGGTTAGTTAGTTAGGCTGTCACTGTCCAGAGATCAGTGGGGAAGCTTTACTCGTTACACGTCACTCACATGAGTACACCATGCAGAATACTAGCAGTGAACTGTTCCAGCTGATTTAGAGTCTATAATTAGTGATCCGAATAGACCTTTTTCACAGCAGCCATTTTAACATGAAATTGGGTAAACACAGCTCTTACCAATGATACTATTTAAGTTTTATTCCATTTTAGCAGAGCCTTTCCAGTGCAGCACCCTGTAGCTTCCCCATACCCAACGCCATGGTACTGCCTATGAGTGAAACCAAATCTTGACTCACAAGCAGTTTCATTGCAAAACAATGCAGTGCTTTGAGCTAAATGCTAACACCGGCATGCTAACATGCCAATGTTGAGCAGGTATACTGTACTGTTTACCATGTCCAGCACCTTAAAGTAGCTTGTTATCATGCTAATGTTTGTTAATTTGCACTACACACAAAATACAGCTGAGGCTGAATGTCATTAGTTGTGCAGACATTTGGTCTTAAAGAGTTATGATGGTGCTAGATGAAAAGTTAAGAGATGATCAAAGTTATTCAGAATAATGAATCTGTACCAAATTTCATTATGGACTGACCAACTGACAGACTGACACTGCCATGGCTAGCGCCACACTTCTAGCATGGCAGCAAAGCTAGCAATAAATGAGCAATGAAACAAAGCTAATTAGTAAATTGAATATGTAAAGGTGGAATCAATAACTGATACTGCTCCCCATTATTAATGGATAATTTCAAATCTAAAAAAAAACAATTCTGACCTTGTCTTATCTCCAGTCGGTCAGTGTGGGCACCTTGGTGCAATGCTTACGGGTTTAGAGAAAATCTGATGTAGGAATGGCGTGCTGGTGCTACAACTCCCGCTTCTCTACTCTTTTTGCTGTCTGACAGAAAGAGCTAAAATTACTTTTAAACATTTAAAAGAACAACAAATCCAGCTGCATGTACTCCAGTTGCATTACAATACAATAGGCTACACTCTTGTTGGGTATTACACTACATGCTGTATAGTACTTGAGATGTATCATATTCAGGTTTTCTCAGGGGATCAGTGTGAATGTCTATGTACGATTCATTGTTAAGCTAAATCTATACAACAATCTTCAAAAGGAGAAAATTGTTATGCATACACCTTGCAGATCTGCAGCGTTTAACTGGTTATTATACAGTAACTCTCAGGCCTGAGAGCCTTCTCCTGGATTAAGAGGAGTTGGCAGATTCCCTGCATTCACATCCTGACCCCTTCCTCAAACAAGGGCCAACTGGAGCTGAAATCACAAGGGCCTTTTCCAGCTAGGTTGGCCTATTGTCTCACTGTGGCTTTCTACCGTGGTGCTATCGTCACAGAGCTGCAGTCGTCATGAGGTCGGTCCGGGTTAAGACACTCCACTTCTCTATTGCTGCATAATTTCAAGCTTCTTTACAGTTCTTAAAATAACTCCAGATAAATTGTGTCTGACACATAGCCACCTTTTCCAGTGGGTGTGAGCTCGGTCCCTAGATGTTTTGAAGGAGCGAAAGCTGTGCTGAGAACAAAGGCAATGCTCGTTGCAACACAAAATATCATAAGTAGAGGTGCAACTGTTATTGGAGACTGACATGCAAAGCATAAACTACTGTGCCTTTGAAGCAATGTCTTCAACACAAGTTGTATTTACAGTAAAACAACTGTAAGCAACAACACATAGACAATTCTGAGAACACTGTGGACAAAATAAACCTTAAACCCACACCACAAAGTGGCCATTTTCCTCTGAGATCATGCCCAGGGTGGGAAGCTCAAGTGCTGTTATCATAAGGATAATGGCATACTATTTGTTTACTGGTTGCAAGACGTGTAAATGTAAGGAATCTGAAAAATTGTTTTCATTTCACCACTTCCAGACTGATCAGCACAATGAATACAATGAATAGTGAAAATCCAGAGGGGCATCAGGCCATAGCTGAAGGTAAGAAGAAGAAGAAGAAATACTTTATTGATCCCCTAGGATTGCATGTGGACATGCAAAGGGGAGAGATGGTGGAGTGATTGGGCTGCCGCGTTACCAGCGACCCATGAGCAGCTTTCGGGGTTAGGTTGCCTTGCTC